ACACACAGGGCAGCAGAGGCCCTCCTCTACCCTGCCATCCCCCAGTCCTGGCTGTCTTGCTACTCTAGGAAGCCTGGTCGATGTCTCCTCACTAGCATGCAAGGACTCTGCCCAGCCTCTGTGGTCCAAGCACCCTCTGAACATGGGAAGGCCACTAGGGTGTAAAGTCAGCTCTGGCATATGACTTTGATAGGTCCTTCCCACCCTGGCCTTAGCCCCTCCTGTTGACACCGGTATAAAAGAATGCACCTCCTTTGAGACCCGCCCTGGATGCTACTGGGGCTGCCTGGAAAGTCCCCAGTCACACAGGATTCCCAATGTTTGCCCACATCCTGTACCCAGGGCACATGTGTGCGCACATGTTCCTAGACCTATGAGATTAGAGCCTGAGGCCTGGCAGCCCTAACTAGCTAGGCTTGGCCACCCGTCCTAAAGAGATCAACTAAACAGAGAAGAAATTCAGTGCGGCCACATGGGGAAGAGGAACAAAGGTCTGCTGACCCCCAAGCCCACCTCTGGTCCTGACATGAGCTTAGGTTTAAACAGAGACAGGAGGTCTGCATGTCTAAGAGTGCTGGTCAAGGTGTGGTCCCGCCCATCACTGTCTCAGCTCCAGTCTCTCCTGCAAGGGGGTCTGACAAGTGCCAGAACTGTGTGAAATCTTCCTGGGGGACGAGCTCACCATCTGGCTGGCACCAGCTTCAGCCTTTCCCTCCCCAGCACAAGATTCCTGGGTAACTATATTATTGGGGTCCGTTGTTTCAATAGTATGATAGCCAAAGACTGGGGCACAAGTGTCACTTTAGACCAGCTCCACTCCTGACAGAATGGTTTTACACACATGCACGCGCACGCACACACACACACACACACACACACACACACACACGCGCGCAATGGCTGGGGTCTGTGAGGAAGTCAGATCTTTAATTAGACTTCAGTAGGTGGAGTGAGCCTTGGGACCAGAAGGGGCACAGCCAAAAGAGTGCACTCTCTGGTCAGGATGGGAACCTTCCAGAGACTATTTTGAGGAGAGTTGGTCAGTCAAGTCTCCTTGGCGTGAGGAGGACTGGGGAGGCCTCCCCACTGGACTCACCCTGTGTCCTCCACCCCCACCCCACCCCTGCCAGGCCGCTGCTGGCTGGATGCCCTGGAGTTAGCCCTGCGCTGCTCCAGCCTGCTGCGGCTGAGCTCCTGCAAGCAGAGCCGCGATGGGGACCCGGGATCTTCACCGGATGCGTCACCCTCTTCCCTCTATGGACTGCCCGCCTCAGCCACCGTCCAGTCGGATCAAGATCTATTCCCGTGAGTGGGCTGGGCGAGAGCGAGCGTCCTCATAGGTGGGAAGAGGGAGGCCAGCGGAAGGTGGCTGGCGGGCTTGTTCCCTGCCATGGATTCCAGTTTCAACTTCCTCACCCATAAAAGAGAAGCAACAGTACCAAACACACGTCACTTAATACAGGGCAACATGCGAGGGCCCTGCGGTGAGGGGTCGGGTGCCCAGGTGGGTGCTCATGCCTTGGTTCGTCTGGGACCAGGGGCCCATGTGCTTTTCCACCCCCCAGGCTGAACGGGACTGCCTTGGAGAACGATGCGTTATCAGACAAGTCCGAGCGAGAGAATGCCGAAGACTCGGATGCCGAGACACAGGACCACAGTCAAAAGACCAATGAAAGTGGGAGCGACCCGTCAGACAGCCCTGGGGGGCCCCACAGGGGGACTACCTATGTGGAACAGAGCCAGGAGGAGCTGGGAGAGGTAAGAGCTGCCGAGTGCCAGGGCAGGGCAGCAGTGAGCGTCTGGGGGGTCCAGGACTGGCGACTCCTGTCACTCAGTGTGGCCAGCAGCTGTGTCTATGAACAGACATCCCTAGTGGCTGAAAGATGCCCCTTCAACTGAGCTCTATCCTACCTAGCATGGGAGGCAGGGGTGAGGCTGGGGGGGTTCCAGCTCCAAACACACAGCTGGGCTGAGATGCACTGAGGTTAGAGGACAGGAAGCTTGGGAAGGGCCCAAGCCTTACTGGGCAGTTGAGAAGCAGGACCAAGCTCCTGTCCTCCCTGGGCACCTATAAATACCTAGCATGGCCCTGATCTGGGGAGATGGCCCTGGGCTCCTGACCCTAATCAGATCAGGCGTCTGTCAACAGAAAACGGTAAGCCCGCTGCTGTAACCCACATGTTGAGTGTCCTCCAGAGGCCAGTGTGGAAGACTTGGTTCCCAGCTTGGCACCTGGAGGTGGTGGAGCTTTTAGGAGCTGGACCCTAGCGGGAGGAAGTTAGGTCATTGGGGGTGTGACCTCAGAGGGGTCTGAGATGCTGGTTTCCCCCTTTCTCTTTTGCGTTCTGACCATGAGGTGAGTAGCTTGCTCTACTAAGTGCTCCCGCCATGTTGTACCACCTTACCAGAGGCCAAAGCAAAGAGCCCCCTGCCCACCATGCACTGAAGCCTCCTGAACTGCAGATAAACCTCTTTTTTTCTTTTGGACAGAGCTATGTAGTCCTAGCTGGCCTGGCCTAGAACTTACTCTATAGCCCAGGCTGGCCACACACTCACAGCAACCCTCCTTCCTCATCCTCTTGAGTGCTGAGATGACAGGTGTCACTGATGCTTGGCCCAAACCTTTCTTCTTTATGTGTTGACTGCCTTGGGTATTTCTTACAGTAGCAGAAAGCTGATTAGCATACCATAAACACAGAGGACTCAGAGAACAAGATACCTCGGGCAGGTACTTCATGGAGAAAAGAGATACATTTAGCTCAGAGTTTTGGAGGCCAGACTTACAGGCTCAGACTGCTGCATGGATTTGGCCTCTGGTGAGGGTCTCCTTGGCTGTGCCACGTGTGCCATGACAAGCGTAGGTAAGAGGGAGAGTGAAGAAGAGCTGGGCTTGTTTATCAGACCCTCTGAGGAACCCAGACCAGCCTGGGCAGTGGCACCCCTCCAGGCAGGGTGGACATGGGCATTGTGGGAAGGGAAATGTCAGTGCAGCAGAGCCCAAGCCGGCTCTTGAGGCCTCAGGGCCTGGCCAGAGGTCCATGCTCAGGGGAACAGATGCCTCTCTCCTCTCTCACCATGCCCCTTCCCTCTAGGGCCAGCTGTGCTGTCCTGGCCCCCTGGCCATCAGCGCCCTTGGACAACCCAGCTGTGGTCCAGCCCACTGGGCCTGACTTTGTCCCTTTGCTGCAGCTGGGCGAGGGATCCCAGGTGGAGACAGTGTCGGAGGAAAACAAGAGCCTGATGTGGGTGCTGCTGCGACAGCTACGGCCGGGCATGGACTTGTCTCGGGTGGTGCTGCCCACCTTTGTGTTGGAGCCTCGATCCTTCCTCAACAAGCTCTCAGATTATTACTGCCATGCGGACCTGCTGTCCAGGTGCTCCACCCAGAGGAGGGAGGCCCTGAAGCCCAGAGGCAGGGAAGGAGGAGTAGGCTCGAGGGCCAGGCAGAGGAAAGGGTGAGGGCAGGATGTCTGGGTCTTCCTAGAGTGAGGGAGCCCCTGCACTTACTTTCTGGTTAGGTGGTGAACCCACTCCCCAGGGGAAACTCCCCCGCTTCACCGCTGCCTGACAGGATGGGACAGGGGTGTGCAGAATTCTCAGCTGTGCCCACCTATTTTGGCTGAGCGGATGAAGGAGGTTGGGCTGGTTAGAAGGAATGGTCAGCACTGGGAAGGGAGGCTGGGCGCCCCAACCTGAGTCAAAGCTCCCCGTCCCATTGCAGGGCGGCGGCAGAGGAAGATCCCTATTGCCGCATGAAGCTCGTGCTGAGGTGGTACCTGTCTGGCTTCTACAAGAAGCCCAAGGTAAGAGGGGCCAGTGGAGTCAGGGTAGCAGCCAGAAGTCTGTCCTGAGCCCAGCGTGAGTGGAGCAACCCCTTGCCCCATGACCTTGGAGGAGTCCAGTCATCCCCGCCTTGGCTCCAGGTCCTCAGAGATGGACACGGGCCCCGATTTCCCATGGAGGGGCCCCTGGACTTCTCAAGCTGAACCCCCAAGGGTGGTCCCCATGTTCTGAAGGACCCCAACTGGTCCCTTCCCAACCTTCAAGGAAATAGCCTCAGCCTGTGTGAGAGATGCGCCCTACACAGCGGTGTCAGGAAAGGAGCATGTGACCTAGGTTGCCAGGTACCTTTGAGACCGGGGGTCATCTTTTTATCATGGAATCTCTTTTGAGAATCACAACCCCAGGACTCTCCAACAACAGATCCACCTTGGATGTAATGATGGGAATGGACCAGAAAGAGGGGTTCCGTAGGATACTAGTTTGAAAACCAAGATTCTGGCCAGGCATGGTACATGCACATGCCTATAATCCCAGCTCTTGGGAGACACAGACAGGAGGATTTCCTGGAGTTCAAAGCCAGTCTGAGCTAAGTGAGACCCCGTGTTTAAAAATGGGAGAAAGGGCTGGGTGTGGTGGTACACACCTTTAATCCCAGGGCTCGGGAGGCAGAGGCAGGCAGACCTCTGTGAGTTTGAGGCCAGTCTAATCTATATAAGTTAGACCCTGGCTTTAAAAGGGGGGGTGGGGGGGTGGGGAGAGCTCAGTAACGTGCTTGCTCACCATGCAGGCGTGAGGCCCTGAGTTCCATCCCTAAGACTCACAGAAGAGAACTGGTGTGGTGGTTTGCATTTGCAATCCAGTGCTGGGGGTACAGACAGGAAGATCCCTGGGCCCACTGGCTGACCAACTGAGCCAGCTTGGAGAGTTCTAGGTTAGTGAGAAACCCTGTTTGAAAACACAAAGTAGATAGATTCTGAGGAATGACACCCAAGGTTGACCTCCAACCTCCACAGGCATGTACATACACGCACATGCACACACACACACACGCACACACACACACACACACACTCACGCACGCAGGCACACATTGCCAGGTATGGTGGCTCACACCTGTAATCCTAACACTCAGGAGTCAGAGGCAGGAGGATTGCAGTGAGTTTGATTCTGGTTCCATTTATCTGTTGCATAGATGGGGGAACCTGAGGCCCAGAGAGGAGTGACCAACACAGTCACACAGTGGGCTGGAGGACGGCAGGTCTTCTGGGTGCCTGGCACCTCCCAAACTCAACTTTGAACAGATTATGGGTCAGCCATGCCCTGGTTGAAGTCTTGAGACCCCTCTGAGCTAGAAAGTGGACAGGACTCCCCAAATCCACTCCCCTAAATATAAACCATGGGCAAAGACTAGTCTCCCCAAAGTGTAAACTAGGTGCTAACAGCAACTCCCCTCCTTCTAGTTATCTGGGCACGCCCCTCACTATCTGTCACCCACACCTTACCTTGCCCAGGCCCAGGGTCTGGGTCCACAAGTGGCCCCTTCCTCCTGGTTCCTCCAGTGTGTCTGTGTGCTCCCCACAGGGCATCAAGAAGCCCTACAACCCCATTCTGGGGGAGACCTTCCGCTGCCGCTGGCTGCACCCTCAGACCAACAGCCACACCTTCTACATAGCAGAGCAGGCAAGACCCCACCCCGTGTGGCCTCCCAGTCCAGTGTGGGCAGTGGGCGGTGGGCAGGAGCATATCTCACTGAGGGTGGGATTCTCCATGGCTCATAGCTGCCCTGTAAGGCTCCACATCTGGTCACAGCCCATGGGAATTCTCTAAAAAGTGCAGACACGGTGCGGGTTATGACTGCATCTCCTGAGGGCGAATAAACAGACTGGTTTTCCAAAGGAACCCTGAGATGACTCAGGAATTTGGAATCTACTCCTAGACACCAGGATTCAGGCCCTGCCAATGGGACTCCTGGGGATGTGCCCCCCACCCCACACTTGTTTCAGGGACCAAAGAGATGCTCTTTCTGGGACCGTCTCCAGAGCCGCCTCTTTTCCTTCACCCAGGTGTCCCACCACCCACCCGTGTCTGCCTTCCATGTCAGCAACCGGAAGGATGGCTTCTGCATTAGCGGCAGCATCACGGCCAAGTCCAGGTTCTACGGTGAGGGGCTGCTCACCCCGGGGGCTTCCTGGGCCTCAGGGAAGTGGGAGGACCAGATTCCAGTAGCCAGTGGGCGCCAGAACCTCGATGGTGGGACCAGGGAGATGATAAAACAGCTGAGACCTTGAGCCGGGGCCACGCCCCACTCTGCCAAGAGCGGGCACCTTCTGCAGAGATGCTGTGGAGACAATGTCTGGAAAGGACTTGCTTCCACTGAGCTGCCCAATTTCATAACCATCAGCCGAGTATGGCTGTTAGTACTGATTACAGGGAGGGCCGGGGCTGCTGGTGGAAAGTACACACCTACCACGCGTGAGGCCCTGGGTTCCATTCCCAGCACTGCAAATAGGTGATGAATGGATGGATGTGAAATAAAACTGAAAACACAGTCTCTCAGTTGAGTAGATATTTTTGGCAGCTACACATGGCTTGGTGGCCAGCATGTGCGTGTTTGGAGCAGGAAGGAAGAGCCCATCATCAGAGAAAGTGCCAAGGTTCTGTGCTGCTCTGAGCCTGGGCGTGGTGGTGCCCAGGAGGCTCAGCAGTTCCATCAGGCAGCTCTTCACCTTCATAACCCATGTGCAGGTGTGTGCTGAGGGCTTCTGTGTGGCTGGCGCCATCACAGGGTGACACATGGCATCTGCATTCAGGTCCTGTGCTTCGTGCCACTCCTAGAAGTAGCTGTCACTCTGAGCCCAGCTTGGGGCACGTCCTCCACAGGACATTTAAAAGCCCACATAAGTTCAGGCTGGCTCCAAAAGGCCTGAGTCCTCCAGCCCAAAACTCCTTGGTTTAAGTAACTGAGGCAGACTGCGGACGTGCAGCAAGTCGGGAGGTTTCTCGGGACACAGCGGGTGCAGACCACACAGCATTTGTAATAGCAGGCCCCGGGGTTGTGTACCTCACCCCGCAGCTGAAGGTACTGGGAACTCACACCTCAGGTGCCAAGGGCAGCCTGGTGCCAAGGTCAGTCTGTGCTTACTGACCCCATCCTGTCCCTGTAGGGAACTCACTGTCCGCCCTGCTAGACGGCAAGGCCAAGCTCACCTTCCTGAACCGTGCGGAGGAGTACACCCTCACCATGCCCTATGCCCACTGTCGAGGTAAGAGCTGTGCAATGCCCCGGGGATGGCTCAGGCTATCCCTCACTGATGGCATGGGAAGCTATCTTAGTGACGTCTCACTGTGGCAAAAGTAATTAAGGAAGGAGAGATTCATCTGGCTCGCAGTTCAAGGGCACAGTCCGTGATGGTGGGAAGGCACGGTGGCAGGTCACGTCGCATCCAGTCAGGAAGCAGAGAGATGCACGCTGGAGCTTGGGCTCACCTCCTCCTTTTATTCAGTCCAGGACTCTAGGGATGTGCTGCCCACATTCCAGGAGGGTCTTCCACAGCGAAACCTCTGTGGAAATACTCAGCCCTCAGAGACATGCCCAGAGGTTCATCTCCTAGGTGATTCCAAGCCCACGTAGACAATAAGGGTAAACCTTCACAGATGCTGAGCATCTTGTGTTTGCCCACGTGAAGGTATTCTTAGCTCATGGATGGGGTTCAGAGCTGAGCAGACTGTTGTTTTCCCTCATGAGTTTTGCCTCTGGCTCTCGTTGAGGTTAGTGGGCATCCTTCTCTCAGCCTGCCTCCTCCTCTGCTAGGTCTGGAGCCGCAGTTAACAGTTCTCTGTCCTTGATGCTCTACGCTCTCCCAACTGTGTAAGATTCAAGTTTTTAATGAAGACTTTTTAAAAACAGATTTGCGTATTTATTAGTTTATGAGTGCTTGCCTGCATGTAAGGGCACTCCGTCCATGCAAGTGTCTGCAGAGGCCAGAAGAAGACGTCAGATCCCCTGGAACTGGAGGTACAGGTGGTTGTGAGCAGCCGTTTATGCTGGGAACCAAACCCGGGTCCTCTGCAAGAGCAGCCAGTGTTCTCAGTGGCCCTCAACCATTGCTCCCACCCTGAAGACTTTCTTTTTATAGCAGTTTTGGATTCATAGGAAAATTGGCAGAGCCTGGCCCAATTGCCATAGGCCTGTAAAGCCAGCTCCTCAAGTAGCTGAGGCAGGAGGCTGGCAAGTTCAGAGCTACAGAGGTCAAGGCCAGCCTGGAAAACTCAATGAGACAATGACTCAAAATAAAAAGAAATTGAAAAGGAGCTAGGGGCATAGCTGAGTGGTAGAGTACTTGCCTTATATGTGCAAGGCCCTGGGTTCCATCGCCAGCAACACACACACACACACACACACACACACACACACAAGCAGAGTTCCTAGAGACCCCGTCCACCCCCAGTTTCCCATCAGTAAATCTTTGATAGTGTGCACATTGTTACAAGTTCACAGTGAGCCCAGACTGAGACTTGTTATTAGCTGAAATCTAGAGTTTAATTTGTGGCCCACTCTCTGTGGGGCTCATTCTATGAGGTTTGAGAAATACGTAATGAGATCCTACCACTATAGTAGCAAACAGAAGGCTTCCCTACCCTAAAAATCTCTGTGCTGGGGGCTGAGGCTGGAACTCAGCATTGCGGCACTTGCCTAGGGGATGTGATGCTCTGGGTTCAGTCCCCAGAGCTGCCAAAATAATCGATTATAACTGGACGTGAGGGCCTAGAGAGACGGTTCAGCCGCTCAGGGTGCTACTTGCTCTTGCAAAGGACCTGAGTTCGGTTCCCAGCACCCACATGGTGGCTGACAACTGTCTAAAACTCTAGTTCTGGGGATTCAACACCCTCTTCTGGCCTCTGAGGGCATTGCACACACGTGCACTTACACATAGCAGGCAAAATATTCATACACATAAAATAAAACAAAATTTTTTAAACTACATAAAACTTGGGCATGAATGGACTGCTCCACCAGGTTCATCCCTTCCCTACGGCCTCCAACACGCAGTTCTGTTTCCTCTGTCTTCATAGCTTTATGTTTTTGGAATGTCTCAGAATCGCAGTCAGACCATGTGCAGCCTTTCAGACTGACTTTCACTTGGCCATCGGCATTGAGATGCGCTCCGTGTCTTCGTGTAGCACAGTTACTCTGAATTTAGTTTTGCTGCTCCCAGGGTTTGGCTGGTTGTTTACTTTCCTTGAATCTGAGATTTCATGACTTTGGTCAGGCCTGCATTTTTTTTTTAAGATTTACCCATTTATGATGGGGTGTGTGTGCTCCTGTGTATGCGTCGAGGCCAGAAGAGGGTGTCTAGTTTCCTCCTTTTCCACCAATTCCTTTGAGGCAGGGACTCTGCCTGAACCCAGCACTCGTGTTTTCTCTGCTAGTCTGGAAGCCAGCAAGCCCCAGTGATCCTCCAGTCTCTCTCCCCCTCAGAGCTGACATTACAGGTATGTGCAGGGTGCCCAGCTTGTAATGTGGGTGCTGGGACCCAAGCTCTGGTCCTCATGATTAGGCAGCAAGCATTCTTAACCACTGAGCCATCTGTCCAGCCCCAAGCCTGTAAACCTTTAGTGCTTGTTTTTTGTATGTTTGTTTTTGTTTTTGAGACAGGGTCTTACTGTGTAGATCAGGCTGGCCTGGAACTCACAGTTCACCTGTCTCTATCTTCCAAGTGGTAGTATTAAAGGCAGCTGTCCTAGCTTGTTCTCCATTGTTGTGACAAAACACTCTGACCAATATCAACTTGGGGAGGAAAGGGTTTATTCAGCTTACATCTCCCAGGTCACAGTTCATCCGGGAGCCCAAGGTAGGAACTCAGGGCAGGAACCTGGAGGCAGGAGCTGGAGCACAGGCCGTGGAGGAACGCTACTTACTGGCTCACTCCCTTGGCCCCTGCTCAGCCTGCTTTCTTATGCAACACAGGCCCACCTGCCCAGGGGTGGCACCAGCTACAATGGTCTGGGCCCTACCACATCACTCATCAAGAAGGTGCCCCATGGACATGGCCACCAATAGAGGCAATTCCCCAATTGAGGCTCCCTCAACCCAGGTGTGTCAAGTTGACACTAAAGCATCCAGCACACAGGAGAAGCCACACCCAGCCCTTTTCTGTGTGTCCTTCCTTCCTTCCTTCCTTCCTTCCTTCCTTCCTTCCTTCCTTCCTTCCTCTCTCTCTCTCTCTCTCTCTCTCTCTCTCTCTCTCTCTCTCTCTTTCTTTCTTTTTCTTTCTTTCTTTTTTTCTTTTGAGACAGGGTCTCCCTGTAGCCCTAACTGGCCTGGAACTTTGGAGCTTGCCGTGTAGACCAGGCTGGCCACACAGAGATCCGTCTGCCTCCTCCTCTGCCCCTCTGCCTCTCTCTGCCTCTCTGCCCCTGTCCCTGCCCATGTGTGCCGGAACTAAAGGCATGTACTGCCACACCTGGCTATGTGTGCTTTCTTATATGTACACTTATTTCTTTCATTTTTTTTTTAACTTTTACAAAAACTTTATTGTGTTTTTGTCACATCCATGCCCACTCCCTCCCATATCTCCCCATCACTTTTTTCTTTTTCTTTTCTTTTTTATTCTTCTTTCATTTATTTATTTTTATGGA